ACTTGATTCTAAAAGGCACAGGCAGAAACATTACAAGAATTCAGGGTTGCAGCAAATAAATTCTCAGGCCAGGCCTGTTCTGTGTTTCCACAGCCAATCTATCCTACACAACATCATTTTTGAACAATACAGAGTCATAGCCAGAGATAAAAGAATGAGTTCAGATAAAGCACAACTTTCCACCATTCCAGATATTCACTGCGCATTTCATCTGAAGCCAAATGCGCTAAGAGAAAGTAACTGAATGCCTTTACTCAGGTTCTGTAATGGAGAAGTCTAAAAACCTGCTACTTTGGTCTTTGTTTGTTTGCTTTTCCTACTTCCTTTATTTAAATTCTAAGCCTCTGGATATTTTGTTTATAAAAAGGATTTTTTTTACTTTCTATTTTTTATATGCTTTCTTAACCATTTGTGGTTTTACATGGAGAACAGATGGGTTTTTTTTAAAGAAGTTTGCAAGAAAGGCAGATCTTTGTGTAACCCTCTATGAAACTATAATAAAATGAACACTTGCTGTTGAGACATTTGGAGCAGATTGACTACTGATATTCATTCATTTGCCACACTTTAGAAACTAAGCCCAGAACAAACAGAAAACTTATGCAAGTGGTGACAGAAGACCTACTCTGTAAGCAGAGGGTATCTTATGGTAAAGTGAGTGTTCCCAGTCTTAGAGGATCTGAACAATTTCTCCCAGTTACAGGTTCACTTGACCCTAAACAAATAAACAACAGGCAACAGAGACGGAGCTTTTTCTTTTTAAAGTGTGGAAAGAAGGGATTTGGGTGGCAGGTCATCCCACACAGGGTTCCCTCCAGATGTGAGTTCCCACTGCTAATCCCCTAATACTATCTTCCAGAAGTTCAGCCTCAAAACTCTCCCACCAGAAGAGGGGGTGTAGAAGAAATGAATAAAGACACATGCAGGAAAATGGCTTTGCCATTCTTGTCTCTATTCCTTGCCAAAAGTCTGTTCCTTCATTTTTCAGAACTGTTTCTTGGACATTCAGTGGCCACACAGCTGGGTGAGAGATGACAAGAATGAAGTATAGAACTGAATTGAGTTTTTCTGGACCTCTCAGCTCCTATTTCAGGTTGGAAACAAGGGTTGTCTCCTTCTTTCCATTATATTTAAAAAAGGTGTCATTGAACAAGTCTAGATTCCTTTTCATGCCACCTAGTTTTCCATACTTTATGGATAATCGAAACTTAAGAAAAACACTGGAAAGTCTTCCTTCAAAAATTGGTGACTTTTTCCCTGGTAAGGTTAGTTGAAGTGAGAATATGTATTTAAATTCTAAATGCAGACTTTATTGATCCACTGGGAATAAAGGAGTTTATTCTATTTTCTCATTCTTCATGTGCTTGAATAAGGTCCATTTAAAATTTCCCTCGTATGATCAGAAATAACAGAGCCACAGATTGCTTGTTGAAAATTTATAGGCATGATATATTCTCAAATGAGTGACATAATTTTTATTTCTGTGGAATAACACAAATGGGATCATAAAACATAGAGCTGTTTAATGGTGAACCACATGAGAGAAGACGAGTTGAGTTTCTCATCACTGAAAATATGTAATGAGCCGGTAGACATGGACTACAGATATAATGTGTGTGCCTGTGTGTAATGAGGCAATAGACATGAATAAATGACAAAATTGGTGGATTTGTATGTGTTCATGGGTATATGTGTGTGATATTTGTTTATTTAAAGGATACAAAGTAGTAGATGTCTTTACTTCTGAGTACATACGCAGAATACTTGGCTATGTTTCAAAGGCTATATTTTGAGAACTTCACACATGCATACATTTTTTCACAAAATGCATCCTTTACTACCCTCCCCACTCCCCACCACACTTCAGGTACTCACTCATTGCGTTAACTTACTGCTTCTGTTGTATGCATGGATGTAGGGCCATCAGCTGGTGTATGGGCAGAGTATCCAAGATGGCATTCCTGTTTTTATTGTCAGTTTAATATATGAGCCCTGTTCAATGCAGTTGGCAAATTAAGCTCATTTATTTCATGACCTGCCGTGAAATACACACTGTGGAACTTTCATGTGTATTAAACAACCGTAAAAAGCAGAATGTCAACCTCAATGATTTCGCATATACAACTGCAGTGATTTAGAATAATCATCACGATGATGTCTGAGCTTTGTCACACACAGAGAATAAAACAAACAATAAAAACCTCCAGAACTTCCTTCAATAACTTTTAGGGAAAGTAAATCTAATTTTGTAAAAAGAAAAATGTAAGTTAATTGAACTTCACAGGGTTTTGCATGCACTTCATGGTCAGTGTGTAAGCCCGAAGTTGACTTAACGGGCATTGGATTATTCTTCTTGTAAATATGGTAGACATACCTACTCAGCAGCATGACTAATGCACCCCTTGTCTTGTTATATCGCCAATTTTGGGTCAGCTTTGGCTTTTTCATGCCACTTGAAGACCATTTGTTACTGATACCTCAACTCGATTTTTCATGAAAATTATTTATAATTGAGAACCCAAATATGTCACTCATTATAAAGTTATTTATGTTTTTAAACAAATAAATTAACAGGCAACTTTCTAAAAGCCCTTCAAATATTTTTGGTTTTTTTAAATTTGGTTACATGAAGATTTCAATATTATTTCTAAAATAATTTTAATCAGGACCAGACCTTTGATTCTTCAAAAAGACTGAGCTAGCATATGCAGAAGTCCATTTAGTAAAACATATTTTAACTGGAATTGCAATTAGTCATAAGGGGACCATCATTTTCGTGGAAAATATAATCCAACAAAGCTAAACATTAAGTGCCTAAGTTTGCTTTTATCCTTTGCAGAGGCTTACTGCATGATCTCACCCTCCATATATTTTTGAATGCATATTTCCAGGGAAATTATTTTGTACTTTATATAAAATTCTAGGCAATTAGATGCAAAAACAGCGTAAAGCAACATTAAATTTGCCAGTGTAAACACAGGAAAGAAAATTAGTGGGGGAGTTAGTGTTCTGAAAGACCATATTAAGTAGCACACATGGCAATGCCTGCTAGGCACACAGGCAAACTCCCCTTCACTCCCAGTGAGGATCCAAGAATCGAGTCTGGAACATGGCATATACCAACCTTGTTGTGAAATAATGTGATTCCAAGACACAGTTATGAATGTTCATAATGGGTAAAAGCTTGCCAAGATTATGAGGAAGGCGAATGTCCTCAAATAGTCCTCCATGATTCTACTATTGTGGAGCCAAGGTGCATTTCAAGTACCCAGATTCAGGACTGAAAATTGACAGTTGCCATTCCCAGGTATGAGAAACTTTAACTTTTTATTTTCTTTGTTACAAATATATAAGTTGATAATGAAAGGAATTTAACTCACAAAAAAAAAGATATGGATAAAATGCCAACTCCTTTGGCTACTTGTGCATGCCTTATCTTGAAGCCTAGGAAACAGGTGAAAGAGAGATTTGAGTGACCATTTATCTCACTGTCACATCTGAGTTCCCTTTTGCCTTCAGATTCTGAGTTCTTTAGATGTGCACCTTAAGTCCGCACAGCTGGGTATTGCTGTGCAAGTCTGGGGTGCTCAGCTCATTTAACCAAAAAAGCAGAAATGCTGACTCTCTTCATGAGGCTATAGTGAAGGCTATAGGTGAACACAAGGCATTTTACACAAGGCTAGATAGAATAATTCTGAAACAGAGGCATTTTAAATAACATTTTATTAGCTCATAATTTTCCAGAGAATTCTTAATTGGAATTTTAAAATGTTTTGAGAATTACATGTATAAGTACTGTGTTTACATCATTTTTACTCCCTCCTCTCCCCTGTATCTTCTGTGGGTTTCCCTCACTCCTTCCCAAATTTAAGACATCCTCAACAATAATTAATTATTATTGTCATGCATTTATTCACACACAACCTATTGAATCCACTCAGTGTTGCGCATATATACATCTGTTTGAGATTGGATGACCCATAGGATGACTCATTCCAGGTGACAAGTGATTTCACCTCTCTTAGCAACCCTTGATTGTAGTTCTTCATCTAGGGGTTGGATGGGGTGGGGGCTTGTGAAATTTCCTCATCCACATAGGCATGTTGACAGGTGTGGTCATTCTGTAGGTCTTTTTTTAGGCACACAATCATAGTGTTGAGCTATCATGGATAGAGCTTCCCTGTCATGTCTAGAAGATGTTATCTCCTAGCTGGTATCCTGGTCTTCTGTCTCTTATTATAGCCCCCAATTCCATGATGCTCCCTGAGATGTAGATATTCCAGGTAGGGTTGGCAACCTCAGGGTTCCTTATTTTCTTTATTTGTACCAGTTGTAGGTCTATGTAGTAACCTCTATTTGCTGAAGGCAGCAACTTTCTTTATATATATATATCTTTATTAAGTTTTAATTTATTCTACATATCGACTACAGTTTTCCCTCCCATCTCTCCTCTCGCTTCCTACCCCCCCTCCCATGCAGCCCCTTATCTACTCCTACTCAATCTTCATTCAGAAAGGGGCAGGACTCCAATGGGAGTCAACAAAGTATGGCAAATCAAATTGATGCAGGATCAAGCTCCTCCCCATGCATCAAGGCTAGGCAAAGCATCCCATCATGCAGAATAGGTTCTCGAAAACCAGCTCATGTACAAGCCACAGGTCCTGATCCCACTGCTGGGAACCCCACAAACATACCAAGCTACCCAACTGTCACCAACTCGCAGAGGGCCAAATCTGATTAGAGGAGAAGGCCGACTCAGACACCCTCTCCACTATTGCTAGGAGTCTTAGCTGGGGTCATCCTCGTGGATTCCTGGGAGTTTCCAAGGTACCAGGTGTTGTAGAATATTGTTTTAAGGTGTGTTACTTTTGCTTATGCTCTGGAACACTTATTTAATGATGCAAATATGAGTTTGATTAAATGAAATTCACCTGTGGTCAGGAGGCTGAGTCAGCAACTAGCTGACAGGAAGTTGAAGGGAGGAGCCAGGTGGAGAAGTATTTGTAAGAAGGGCCAAGAAAAAGCACGAGAACTTCGTGGGAGACTGTAGTACGTGAGCCAGGTGAGCTGCTTGCTATTCGGCCTCTCTGGGAAGCATAATTCTACCTCAACCTTTGAATCTTGAGTTCTTTAGGGGGACGGGGATTTAAATAAGTTTTTTTCAGTAGCTTTGAAAGAGTCCATACCTGAGGGAACAGAGTTTCCTCAGGCTTAAGCTCTTGCAACCTGGTTGTTTCTGGTTGCAGCAGAGAGGCAGTTGCTGATAGGATAGCTGTAGTTCAAAATGCATCAACGATTAAAAAAGGAAAACAACAACCAGGTTTCTCATTAACCCCCAGATTGTTCCCTTTAGCAAGACATTTCTTTTATTACTCTCCTTGTCTGTCTTGTCCCAAACCCACCCAACCCAACACCTCATGCCCCCCACCTTGTCTCAATTCATTCACAGTTTACCCAAGAGCTCATCCATTTCCTCTACCCAGAGAAATCCATGAATCCCTTTTTGGGCCCTATTTCTTACTTTTATCTGGGGCTGTGGATTATAGCCTGGTTATTGTTATTCTTTACTTACCGCTAATTTCTACTTGGGAGTGACTAAATACTATGTTTGTCTTTCTGGATCTGGGTTACCTTACACAGGATGATTTTTTTCTAGTTCCAGACATTTGTCTACAAACTTCATGGTGTCATAGTGTAGTGGGAATTTGTTCCACCAATAGATTTGGGATACCAGTCTTAGGGAGTAGCTTAGGTGTGTGGATATGATCTCTTAAAAGGAAGAGGAGGGGGGGTCTCTGTAGTGATATATTATTTATGACTTACAAAGCTTGTCTGAGGATTCATAAAGCAAGTCAGCCACAAGCCGTATAATCGAGGCACACACAGCAGCCAGAAGCTAGGACTCAGGATTAAGAGGTAGAAGGATCCCTCTGGGCGCAAGGCCACCCAAGAGCATGAGATTAAAACAGTCTAAAGAAGTAATAGATCACACACATGTAATCCCTGCATTAGAGAGTTATAAAAAATAGAAGCAGGTTCTTCAGTATTGAGTTAGAGACATTCTTTCTCCAGCCATGCTGAGGAGAAGTTACAGTCTGAGGCTTGGTGAGAGATCCTGGAGAAAGGATCAGCCTTTCAGTCTGAGGTAGAAGGAAGAAGCTAGTAGCAGGCTGCTTTGCCTTTATTATATTCATCTTGGATCTTGAATCCCAATATCAATTACTGGGTCTTTTATTTTTCATGATACAGGTTTCTCTTTTGCTTGGGTGGTGGTCTGAGACCAGAGAGAGCAGCATCCTGCGCCTCCAGGGCAGAAGACCAAGGTGGCTCTTTACCTTTCATTGTGTGAGTATTCCTCAACTAAATATTTGATATTCTTTCTATTCAGGTGTTCATGAACTGCCATATTCCTCCCGCCTTATTGCTTTTTTACCACTGAGTAGTACTCCATTATGTAAATGTACTGTATCTTCTTTATCCATTCTTTGGTTGAGGGGCATCTAGGTTGTTTCCAGGTCCTGGCTGTTATGAATAACATTCCTAAGAATATAGTTGAGCAAGTGTCCTTGTGGTATGATTGAGAATCCTTTGTGTATAAGCCTAAAATTGGTATAGCTGGGTCTTGAGGTAAATTAATTCTCAATTTTCTAAGAAAATGCCATGCCAATTTCCAAAGTGATTGCTCAAGTTTGAACTCCCACCAGAAGTGGAAGAGTGTTCCCTTACTCCATATCTTCTCTAACATAGGCTGTTATTAGTGCTTTTGATCTTAGCCCATTCTGACACGTGTAAGATGGCATCTCAAAGTCATTTTAAATGTATTTCTCTAATGGCAATCAGTGTATCTCAGTCATTCGAGATTCTTCTGTTGAGAATTCTGTTTAAATCTGTACCCTGTTTTTTTATTGGATTATTTGGTATTTTGATGTCTAGTTTCTTGAGATCTTCATATATTTTGGAGATCATCCCTCTACCAGTTGTGGGGTTGGTGAAGATCCTTTGCCATTCTGTAAGCTGCTGTTTGGACTTATTGACCGTGTCCTTTGTCTTAGAAAAGTTTTTCCGTTTCTGGAGGTCCCATTTCTTAATTGCGACTCTCAGGATCTGTGCTACTGGTGTTATATTCAAGAAGTTGTCTCCTGTGCCAACACATTCAAGGATATTTACCACTTTCTCGTCTATCAGGTTCAGTGTAACTGGATCTATGTTGAGGTCTTTGGTGCACTTGGACTTCAGTTTTGTGCAGGACAGTAGATATGAATCTATTTGCATTCTTCCACCTGCTGACACCCAGCTATGCCAGCACCATTTGTTGAAGATGCTTTCTCTTTTCCATTGTATACTTTTGGCTTCTTTGTTAAAAATAATGTATTCGTAGGTGTATGGATTAATGTCAGGGTATTCGATTCAATAACATTGATCCACATGTCTGATTTTAGGCCAATTCCAAGATGTTTTTTATTACTATAGCTCTAGAGTAGAGCTTGAAGTCAGGAAGGGTGATACTTCTGGAAGTTCCTTTATTATCCAAGATTGTATTAGCTATCCTGGGTTTTCTTGTTTTTCCATTTGAAGCTGTATATTGTTTTTTTCCAGGTCTGAAGAATTGTGTTTGAATTTATTGCATTGCATCTGTAGATTGCTTTTGGTAATATTGGAGCAACTTCTTTTATGAGGATTGACAGCTACATTTTTATCTCTGAGTATAAGGAAAACTGTTTAATCCCAGCACCTGTGAAGCAGAGGCAGGTGAATCTCTGAGTTCAAGGTCAGCCTGGTCTATAAAACTACACAGCGAAATCCTGTCTCAGAAAAAGGAAAAAAAAAGAGAATTATGCTTCACAATGTGTTGGTGATAAACATCTAGAAGGAAGATAAAGTCAAGACTTTATAACAAGATTTTGTAGTGAGTCAAGAGAGACTTTCATCTACTTCTGTTCATATATAGCTTTCTTTGGTACCCACACTTTAATAATCCCTCTTTGGGGGCGGGGTCTTAAAACACATTGATTGGGATCAGCTTCTTCATGGCCTGCAGGAAGGGAAAAGTAAATAAAATAAATCTGATCACCTTTCTATGGGTGTTTTGAATGCAATCGTTTATCTTTATTTACAGTATTTATGTGGTATACATTTGTATTTACAAGATGATACAGGAGATATTTGCTGAACAGAATTTTCATTCCTTTTTGCTTTTTAATAATCACATTATGATAGCTTAGCCTCCAAAGTTTTTGCTTTCCTGAGTCTTAGTTACTCCTTATTGGTCATGGTCTGAAAATAATGAACAAGTTGAGAAACAAAGAATCCCTCAGTTTAAAATGGCATGGGATTGATTCAGGATGTAAGTTGTCCCTTTCTCCACCATACCAATGTGTGTAGGCTACTCTGTCATTGCTCATTTAGAAGCTGTCTTGCATATTGGGTTTGCTGCTGTTATCACAGCGACTGAAATCCAGTATTCCCTATTGATTCAAAATAACTACAGTTATTACAGTCATGACACTGGCAAGCTTATTAAAATATGATGCTTTGGTTGCTCTATTTGTTGTAATTTTACAAAAGTGGCATATGAGAGGAAGACATCATGTGACAGAGTTCAAGAAGAGGAGATTTTTTTATGAGGGGAAAGAATTGTAAGAGGGGAAAGGAGAGGGGGGAGGCCACCTCTGGAGAAAGGAAAAGTAAGAGGTAAGAGAAGCAGAGAGGGAGGGGGAGGGGTGAGGAACAGACAGACAGAGAGGGAGAGAAAGATAGAAGGATGGGAGGTGGACATGGGCAGGGCCCTTTTAAAAGGGAACATATTGAATAGGCACAGGTGGTGCTCTTAGTGGCAACAGCTGAGGGCGTGTCCTATCAAGACTCCAAGGGCAGGCCAGTACAGATGCTTAAATACTGACACTGTTTAATTGTCTGATCTCTTAACATTCTTCCTGTCTGCAACTTAGACATTAAGCTTCAGATGTATACATATGAAATATCACAAAGACCTTGATACTCTCTCTATTCTTTCTATCGTGTGGTTCTTCTAATGCTTCTCCCATTGATAAGTTTCTATATCAAGGAAAGATGTGAGAGTGTTGGATTACATAATGGAGGAGAAATAATAAAAATAAATATTCCAGATTTTATAGTAGTTGCATACAATTTTATAACACCAGAAGATTTCCAAAGACTAGGATGTATGCTTATACCCATTGGTCTGGGAAACTAACTCTTCTTAGTCTGTATTCTCATAGCTCTACTTTTAACATATGTAAATGGTTGTGTTGGACTAACTTACATGGGGCCATGTGTTACCAGTACAAACTGCTTCTGTCTTTCCTCACCATGTAATCCTGTTTTTATTTATTTATTCTGAAGTATTCATGCTTTGAAATATGAAGGATGTTCCATTTTAAATAGTTTAAGGTAGAATGGTATGAAATAATGACGAGACAGAATTGAAGGAAAATTGAAGATGAGAATTGTCTGGAGGTTAGTTTTCCACTCAGAAAAAATGAACTTTTATACTGAGTGATTTATCAGATTGAAGGATAGAAGTTGTTGCCTAAAGCCCTCCGAATTGAGTAACATAATAGAATACTTTATCTAAGTTAAGCTGAAAATGTAGGAATCTCCCATTCAGGTAAGTTGAACCAGAAGAAACTAAGGGATTTTCAGCTCCAATGCACATTGCCCTGTGGAATTAAAGTCTTCCTTCAATCCTTGACCTTCTGTTGAAGATGATCTCAGTTTGATAATGTGCTTCACTCCTATGTAGCGGAGGCAGCATCAGTCACTTAACAGAAAGGGTGGGGGGAGAGGGCAACATCATCCTAGGCTTAATTTTCAAGCGTGGGATGCACCTTGTTTGCAGCTTAACCAGATACAGGTAGATGATTCCTGTATGACTGCTCTGTGAGCAGGAAAGTGACAAAAAATCCAACAACTTAATGAACAGTAGACTGAACACTGTCTATGAACACTGTCCTGGGTTTTGGGGAAGAGGAGTCATATGCAAAGAAATAAGACACTGTGCACAGGGTGATCTGAGATATTTGGAACTGTTAGAAAAGAATTGTATTAATAAGCTTTCGGGAATTCTAAAGGTAAACACACAAAAACAGTAGTGTATGACGATGAATGAAGACAGGACCAGTGAGCTAGAAGAAGACAAAAGAAATTACGTATAATACAGCATAGGAAGTAATTGAGACAGAAGAGAGAGTGAATTGCTTTGCCATATACTGAATCAGCTTGTTATTGTTTCCCTGTGAGAAAATGCGTGATGAGAGAACTGAAAGGGATTAGAAAGTTTTATCCGAAGATGATAAATATTCTAATCACTAATTTCTAATGAGAAATCACATAATCCTATATTGAATGTACTAGTGTCTTCGTTCACCAAATTGCTATAATTATGAGCCTATGGCTCTACCCAAAATGGTGATTTGTTTCCTGTTATTAGAATAAAATTGCAAACTATTCAATAGAAAAGCAATGAATTTGCTACATTCAGGTATCAATAGTAATTTTCACGGGGGAAATAAAAACAAATAGCTAAGATACCTTCCACTTGAGTATCTAATAGAGTAAATGCTATAAACAAGTGCAAATATAGATTTTATGCCACTCCATTTTTAGAATAACACTATTTTATTTTGCTTTGTTTTGTTTATTTGAGACAAGGTTTTACTGTGTAGCCCTGGCTGTCCTGGAACTCACTCTGCAGACCAGGCTAGCCTTGAATTCACAGATCCACCTGTGTCTGCCTCCAGAGTGCTGAAATTAAAGGTGTGGGCCACCAACATCACCACCACCTAGCAGATACTAGTTTAGTTTAGATGGGTAAATTAAGTTTGCATGATGTAACTTTAAATAGAGAGTATTAACATAATCCCCAAATGATCCTTAAAATAGGTTGCCTTTTTTTTTTAACTAGAGATGTTAGGTCAGGAGACCAGAAAAAGAAGCAGGCAGGAGTTGCAGACAGCCTGAGTGAAATTTCCAATTTACAGATGGAAGTCAGGAGTGAAAGAGTTTACAGACCCAGCAGCCACTCATCATCTGATGTTTAGGGGTACTTTGTCTCTGATTTGAATCAGGATCTTCACTATTAACTAGAATCCATCTGGTCAATAAAAAAACATCCACTAATTTGAGGCAGTTCATTTTACATGCTATTTATAGAAAAAACCTGCTGTGATATTTTATTCTGGGTGGCCTTTAACTCAGCGAAATCCATTTTATTTTGTCTCCTGAGAACTAGAATTAAAAATGTGTATCACCACCGCCTGATCTCTTGAGGCTGATTTTGCTTTCTGAATCCTCAGGTGAGCTTTAATAAGTCATAAATAATATAT